CAGCCACCCACACCCTTTATTAGTTGAGAGCTTTATGGAATCTGATTGTAAGGCTGAGATGAAAATAAATTCCTCAAGCGACTTTTACTTGGATTTTTTCCTAAAATTTCTTTGTTCCTTTGAACCTCTTCTGCACTCCAAGTATTTTTTTTTCTCTTCTTTTAACTTTCTTTAAACAAAATTGCCTTTTTTTTTATTGCATAGGGAGAATTCCTGAATTCCTAAATTCTAAATCCTTTTTTTTTTTTTACAAAAAATGAGCATAGTTTCTATTGTACATGATGTGATGTACATTAAGGCTAAAGATAAAATGAGAATCAAAGCTCTTTAATAACTCCTCCTTGAATAGCAAATGAACAAGGCCTTGGTCATTTTAAGGCTATTTACTTCAACCTCCTCCTTGAGTGGCCTTTTTTCTTTCTTGGGGGGGAGGCTAAGGGCTAAAGTGCAACGTTTTCCAGATTTTTAAGGTGGGCTCTACATGAACAATTTTTTTAAGTTATATTTAGTGAAAAATCTGGAGAACTCAAATCAATTCAGTCTTTTTTCTTCAAGTATTCCTTCCATCCTCCTCATAATTTATCCCAAGTCACTCAAATCAGGTGAACCAACTTAGTTGAATGTTCACCTCAACCCTTCTTAAGAGGAAAAAGGTTTAACGGAATGCAATAGATGTTCTAAAGGTTATGAAATAACTAATAACACTCCAAATCAAGGTTCAAAATATCGATATACGACCGATATGTATCGTATCAGGAGCTTTCTGATACGTTCCTACAGAGGGTGTACTGGGATTTCAACTGGTTCAGGAGATGGACGGACCTTAAACCAGCCCTTCTAAACCAGATTTGAAAAAAAAAATAAAAAAAGCTATTGATACGCCTATACACCAGTCATAAAAAACATAATACCCACAAGGGTCACAACCATTCAACCTTTTTCTATGGGCCCATATAATTTATCAATGATGTGGGCTCGCTACACAGCTAATGCGTTCAAACATTAATTGAATCCAAATTCCCCCAAGGAGCGCTGAATTCTCCGAAGCTCAAATGACTAGACAAAGCCGATTTGGTTATATATATATATAATTGGACGTATCATGTCAGCATGTCCCTCTTTTGAGAGAAGCTATTTATCTATTTTCTCCATTTTTTGTAAGGCCTTTTATTTTAACGCATGTTATTATTACATTTAAGAGAGAGAGAGAGAGAGTAGTAATAATATAAATAGGTTGAGGTTAAACAATCAAAAAATTATTAATTTAAAAATCAACTAAACTTTCACTTAAAATAAATATTAACAAAACTTAATAAATATTAAAAATGTGTTTCAATTCCCATTAAAAATTAAACTTAATAAACGCTAATAAAATCAAGAAATTTAAATATACAAATATTAATTGATAGTTTTAATAATATTTTTAGATAAATTTGTATTAATGCATTTTTAATTAATTAATAATTTTTATGAGTTAAGACCTTTATTGTGCATAATGAGCACATTAAAATGATAAAAATTAATAAAAATTTAAAATGTAGAACACATTTTATTAACAGTATTTTATTGCAAAAATTATTGAATAATAATAAAAAAATACCAACAATTAATTAAAAATCCAGAAAATCCTGAAAATCCTAAACAAAATTAAAATACTGAAAATAATTAAAAATATTGAAAATTAACAGTATTTTATATTAAAAAGGGCATTTGCTGAAAAATAATTAAAAGATACAATTAATAGTGTTTTATTATTAAAAATACCAAAAAATTATTAAAAAAGTACCCAAGCCAAAAATTACTGAAAAATATTGAAAATTAGCTGCATTTTTGTTAACTTTGGTAGTTATTTAGTTATTTAATTTATTTTTATTGAAAGCAAATGTATATTAATTTTGTAGTGAATAATACGAAAAAATAAATGCTGAAAATACTGAAAATTATTGAAAAATACTCATATGCAAAAATTACTGAATAATAATGAAAAAATTCCAAAAATTAATTAAAAATTCGAAAATTCTGAAAAACCTAAAACATAATTAAAATACTAAAAATAAATTTAAATAATTAATTTAATTGTTTTTTGCAAAAAATACTGAATAATAATGAAAAAATGATGTGCTTTAATTATTTACAGTAATATAATTAACAGTAATTATTTTTAAACTGTAATTAACAGTAATTATAATTTAAACTATTAATAGTAGAAAATTACATTTAATTACAGAAAAAGTAATATTTAATTACCAGAAAATTAAATTTAATTCGTTTTATCCAAAAATTTACCAATATTTCTGAAAATATGATAATTTTCAGAAAATTACTGTATTTTATATAAATACAGAAATTTAATAATTACAATATTTTGATAATCATAGTATTTTAATAAATTCAATTTTTATTAAAAATATCAATAATAATTACATTAATAAATAATGTATTTATTAATTAATCAATACTATTTATTAATTAATAGTAAATTAATAGTTACAGTACTTGTAATAATTAGCAGTATTTTAACAAATACAGTATTTAATAATTAAAAGTATTTAGTTAATTACAGTATTTATTAATTAACAGTACTTGATTAATTACAGCATTTATTAATTAATAGTATTTAGTTAATTAGCCATATATTCAATAAATACAGTATTTTAATAATTACAATATTTTTAATACTTATATTATTTTAATACTTACAATATTTTATTAATTAGTAGTATTTTAATAAATACATTATTTATTCAAAACAGTATTTTATTGTAGTAATAATAATAATTATAGTATTTTTAAATAATTAACTGTATTTATTAAAATATTTTACTCATTAGTAAATACAATATAAAAATGGTCCCGGTTCGTCTAGAAACCTATAACATGAAATCTATATATAATTTGAGGCCTAATAACTATAATTAATAAAATTACTAAAGTTAATAAAAATATTAAAATTTAGCAAATTTTTATCTAGCAATTATTAAAAGTTATGAAATTAATAAAAAATAATTAGTAGTTCATAAATGAAAAAAACTTAAATATAATTTAATAGGATAATTAAAATAAATATATAAAAGTAAAAGATTATGAAAATTAGAAATTAAACCATTTGTATAATGTCATAAGGCTCCTTCTACTTAGGGATGATCATTTATAACTTAGCTCAACCATGGGCTCAAGGAAATATTTTCTTATAAGCTAGGTCTATCTCAGATCTACAACAAACCCAGGTAATAGGTATAAATTATTGATAGGATTATTAAATTTTAATAGGTTTTATTAGGGGTGAGCACCATTCGGTTAAAACCGAAAACCAAACCAAAAATTTTGGTTTCTTTTTTTTTTCAATTTGTTTTTTTTTTTATTTTTTATTAAATCAGTTTTTAGTTTTAGTTTTTAGAATTAGAAATTCGGTTAACCAAATTAACCGAACTTTCTATTATTATATGTAATATATAATATGAAAGATATAATATATAGTATGTAACATATAATATATAATATATAATATATTATAATATTAATATATAGTATAATGGAATTTTATTTTATAATATATATTTTATAATATATAATATATATTATATGTTAGAATATATGTCATAGATTATATATTATTAAAATTCAGTACTAAAAATCGAACAACAAATTTAGGTTTCGATTATTTCGGTTTCAGTTTCAGTTTTTATTTTTTAGTTCAGTTTTTGAAAATTCAATTTATTTGGTCCGATTTTTAATCGAATAAACTGAATGCTCACCCCTATTAAAAATTAGTATTGGTAGGATAATTAATGTTAATAATAAAAACTAATAAATAGTTTATAACTTAACCTAACCCGATTAGATGTATAAGTTTCCAGGCTGAAGCAAATATTTTCTTTTAAGTTAGGTCTAGCTGAAATATGCACCAAGCCTACACATTATCAGGGATAATTAGATTCGAAGTCTAATTGGGCATCAAACTTTTGGAGTCTAATGATGGCTTTAGTTTATATAACCCAAGCTAAACAACCCCTAATAAGCTCAACTTGGAAGTTATATGCATATATGGTAAATATTATTTTAAATAACAAATTTTATATTAATATATATATATATTATACTAGAATTAAAAAAATTAATTTGTAAAAAAAATCATAGTTTTATAATTAACACGAACAATATCCTATAGGCCTATAAAAATATTATTACACTTGAGGTGTGGGCTGGGCTAGGCCAAACAATCTTAAAAACTGCTAATACACTATCAAAATTTAGCCCAAAATTTTTAATTTTTTGGTTCATCAAGCTACACAATGTGGGTGGCCGATCCCTCATAGTTCCTTTGGCTTCAATGTTATCTAAAAATAGTTAAAAAAAAAACTAAAAATAATGCATGCATGGATTGCACTTGATTTGGTGACTTTGGTCCAATCCAATTACGAATGTTACAATGCATGCAATTTGGGCTGGTTAGGTCAGTGACGAATCCAAGCCTAATCCAAAGTCTTAAACCTTGAGTTTGGGCTTAGATTAATTTAGTTAATAACTAAAAAAGTTAACTATAGATTAATTTAATTATGACTATAGCCTAATTTTATATATTTACTGATATTTATTATTTTAAATGTTTAAGTGATATTTACTATAAAGTTGAAATATTTAATCATTAATTAATAAAATAAAATAAATAAATTAGAACACTAACAAATAATGTGGAAAAATAATTATTTTATTAAATAATAAGCAATGATTATTATTATTTTCTAAAAATATTAATATAATTAATTCAAATTATTAAATTATTAAAACATTTTTGTAATAAATTATTAAAATAAAGATTTAATTATTTTAAACAGCGTTGCATTCTTTCCGTATTGATTATTTCACTTTCCTTAATAAGTCCCGTGCGATACCTGCTAGTTTTTCACAAAAAGTCGTCCAACAATGTGATGCGGTGGTTCGGGTTCCCTGACATTCCTTCTCCAACTCGGATACGGTTCTTGCACTATAGTCTATACGAAAACGAGTGATCGTGCTAGTGTTTCTATATAATTTCCGAGTGTTCAGGATTTAGATTCATAGCATTTGTCCTTCAAAGTTTAAAACACAATCGTGGTTCTTCTACTTTCAGGCTTCCAAATTTGTTCTTCGATTCTTCGGTTTTAAGTCTTGAATCGTTCTTCCGTTCCTTCCCTTTTGAGTTTTACAAAGACGACGAACAAGAGGGCTTCAATGTATCAGTTTACTAGGTCGGTTTTGATCTCTCCTTTACTTCTTCAAACATCGTTCTTTCTTCCCCTTCTGTTTTAAGGTTTCTGGGCTGTTTACTCGGTTGCTTACTTTGGATTTCTTTAATGTACGCAGAGGCTATTGGAGAAAAGATGTTTACACTGATGATGATTCAGAACGTTCGGAGATAAGGTCGTCGAAGGTTCCCCGTCTTTCTGGATTTAAATCGGTTGCCGAAGCTCAGACACCTAATGGGTAAATTGCAAATGTTTCGTTCATTTGATTGCTTGTCTCTCAAGCAACATTAGTATGTATTTCTACCATTAATATGAAATGGGTCACTATCTATTGTTTCTTTAAGCCCCAAAACATATGCTAAAACTGTTTGACGATCATCTGTTGTTTCTCTGAATGCCCTCTTGAATAATCTGATCAACTGTTTGGTTTTTCAAAAAACAGGGGTGTTTTGCATAAGAGTAAGAGAAACATGATTCTGAAAGCTGGCTCATTTTACATACCCAAGAAGAATGCCCTAAAGCCGCAGGGTGAGGATGCCCATTTCATTTGTCCGCAACAACAAGCCTTTGGTGTGGCGGATGGTGTTGGTGGTTGGGTAAAGCAGGGTGTGGACTCAGGGGAATATGCCCGAGAACTCATGAAGAACTCTACAATTGCACTTCAGGCTGAACCTGAAGATGCTGTTGATCTAGAGAGAGTACTGAGAGTGGCTTGCTCAAACACTAATGCCATAGGATCATCTACTGCCTGTATTATGCAATTGTTTAACGAGGTTAGTAAATGCTCTGTATGGTTATCTCTGATGAACTGTATGATTTATGAAGGCTCAGAATTTGTTTCATTTCATGACTAAACCCATGCTTGCTTTTGTTTATAGTGCTTACATGCTGTCAATGTTGGAGATAGTGGGTTTTTGGTTATTAGAGATGGGAAAATTTTCTATTCTTCCCCAATACAGCAACACAAATTCAACTGTCCTTATCAACTGGGGAACAACCCTAAGTGTGATCAACCTAATTCAGCAATGGTAAGTGATTACACATGCTTTCCTGCCTCATTTTGTGCTATCTTTGAGAATTTTCATATTGACTACTTTCTTTCATGGATATGCCAGGTATTAAAAGTTCCAATTAAACTTGGAGATGTCATTGTTGCTGGAACAGATGGACTCTTTGATAACTTGTACAAACATGAGATTGTTGAGGATGTGATTCAGGGAACCAGATTCATGGGAGTGGATCCACAGTTGGTTCCATGGATGCACACCACTCATCACTCCAACGTGATTGTTTGTCTCCCTTCTCGGAGGCATCAAAGATGGCTGGATTCAATTATCTTGGAGGAAAAAAAGATGATATAACAGTGGTTGTTGCTTACGTCGTCCCATCAGAATGAATTTTTAATAGTTATTTCATTGTACAACTTATAGGATTTATAGGATTCAGGTGGTAGAGGCAAAACAACAACATCAGAGTGTAGTTATCAAACATTCTTTTTGTAAATGATTGAAGGGTAATACCACATGTGACATTGTAACTGACTCTATAATCCTTTAAGTTGTCCCATCAGAATGAATACTTAGTAGCTATTCCATTGTACAGCTTGTAGGATTCAGATGTTAGAGGTGAAACTTCAGAGGGTAATCATGAAGCATTCTTTTTGTAAATGAGTTAAGGATAATACTACATGCCACAATGTAACTGACTCTATAACCCTTTTCATCATCAATGAAAAAGGTTCTCTTTTGTTGTACTTATGAAAATGGAATGGCTTTATTTTCATATGATTGAGAATGTGTGGTATGATTTATTGAGCCCAAATCTATTTACATGTCTATTTTACTTTGTAATATATTATTGAGGTTTGGCATTTGGTAATTTCCCTTAGATTTGTGCATAAATTATGGTATTTTATCATGTTGTCACGAGATATAATCTTTGATTACATCTTACATTTAAGAAGGATTGCAGATCCCAGTTGTTGACTAGAAGGCTTAAGTAGGATATGACATTATATATTGTTTGGTTGAACTAGGCTCTGATTTTTAGTGGAGTTTTGAGACTACTAGATTCAAAGCCAAAGAAACTTAAGTTAACTTAATAGTAATTACATTTTTTTCCGGTTTTGTTTTTATTATTGTTAAGATAATGTCTTCATGGTTTCAGCAAAAAAAGATATGCCTCCATGGTTGAACTATGATCATAAATTTTAATGTTGAAATAAAAAAGACAATAGAAAAAAAGATAAAAAAAAATATTGCTCTTTGTTGATGATCCATGCTGTGGCATTAAAGATGAAATACTGATATTTACTTCCATCTTATTGAGTTTAATTCATGGATCAGTAATGGAATCATGCCTCTGTGTGAAAGTCAAGCTGTCTAACAATTAACTATCGGCAGGATAGTTAATTGAGAGAAAACTTCTTTTGGTAGATTAGAAAGCTAACACCTTAATAGGTAAAATAGAACTTTATAAGGGAGCTCTTTTTATTTCTTAATATCATTTTCTTTTAATAGGTAAAACAGTTTAGATGAAGCTTCATGAGGTTAAGTATCAGATTGAAGAGAAAACTTTGATACTTGAGAGTATGAGATACCAGTTTGAACTGTTGCACAAAGATCAAAATGGCTAAAAAATGGAGATGCATAGTACTTGTCAGAGCAATTGGTTTTAAGTCCCACTTAAGTAAAATCTTTTCAAGTTCTAATAGGAAAGGAGAGGTTAAACAAGAAAGTAAAAAAGAGAAGACCCCATGGAAAGCAATCATTCGATTGAATTAAATATGGAAAATAATGTCATGCTCTATAGGTAGAGTTACACAAGTGATGCTACTACTCAAGAAGATACCAAGGGTTCTTTTGTTAAGGAAGAAATTAATTAGAGCAAGTCTACCTATGAGAAAATATCGAGGGAAAACATCTTTTTTGTAAGAATTTCGGATCTTTAATTAATCCATTCTTTAAATTCTTGTAGAGTTGCTCTAGAGCAAGGTTCAAAATATCGATACGTATCAGGCCATATCAGTCAATACGGCTGATACGTATCGGGAGATTCCTGATATGCCTCTATAGAGGGTGTATCGGGATTTCGACTGGTTCAGGGAGATGGACGGACCTTAAACTGGCCGGCCCCCCTGAACTAGATTTGAAAAAAACTAAAAAAGAAAAGATATTGATACTACCCGGTACGCCTTGTATCAATATTTTGAACCTTGCTCTAGAGTACGTAGCTCCACTGATACCAGTGGCTCCAGAATTTTTAGTACTCTATACCTTCAAGTCATATAAACAAAAGATTCTGTAATTAACTTTCATAGAAAACTGTATAAGTTAGATTCCAAAAACTACTTATAGAAAAACTATGTTACTGATCAATATTTATGCTATCTGCGTCAATACTTCTGTTCTAATTATTTGCGTTTTTATTTTCAATTACTGTCTTTATTCTTTTGCCATTTGATGATAGATCCTGAGGTCTGTTTGGCACGTCTTTTCATGTGGGCTGTCAGTTTTTTAGAAGTTTGGCAGCCCATGTTTTCGTCTTTTCCTGTTTTGTTGGAAAAAGATTTAGCCACCAAAAAACGTCATATCGAAAAGACATGTAAAGTTCATTTTGGACAAATTTCGGGAATCTCCAAATGATCTTCAGGTTTTCAAAATCTTAATGTAAAAACTTACTTTATCTTTTGACTGTCAGAACTTCCACGAAATCTTTAAAAAAAGACTTGTCAAACAGACTCAATTAACTCAACTTGAAACATACCCTAGATAACAGACAAGGGATAAGAAGAGACTTAGAAAAACCATGTCTATGCATGCAGTTCACTGGAGCAGCACTGATGGTTTTTACTGTTAATAATACTTTTGTAATAAACTGTTGGTTTCATCATTTTTCTGTTCATAACATCATAAAAACATTTATTACATTGAAATGTATGCCGTGAAAATATCTTATTTCAACTATAAAATATTGAAAATGTCATTAAAACCGATAACGATTCTTACCAAAGGGTGAGGTGTCTCACTGTCATCTTGTGCATCATTAATTTGCTTCGATTTGGAACTCACAAGAGTTCTTAAATGAGTTTTTGATGCCTCCCTAGGTATGTAAAATCAGGTATTTATTCATTTATCATAAATCCAACAAAGATCTTACTGAAAGCAACTCAAAATAGAAATGACAACGGGGCAGGGATGGGGACGGGTTCCCCGCAAGGACTCAAATCTTTGAAAATTTTTAATTTATAATATTTTTTGAAAAATAAGTTTACTTAAAATAAATAAAAAATTTTAAAATATAAATAGTATTTTAAATATATGTAAATATATATAAGTAATATAAATAATATCATAATAATATATTTTTAATATATTTAATCAGGATTGGAGCAGCATGAGATCTCATTCCCCATACCTGACCCACCAGGTCAGGTACCCTTCGGGATGGGGAAAATTGCCATTCCTAACTCCAAACAAAGAGTAATCTAGTGCTCCTATGATAGGACAATGTCAGCCAATACAATCAAGATGTATAGGTGGCTAAATCAAAGCTAGCTCAATGCCTTGGTCTATGCCAAGGATGACATTGAAAGTTGGTAATATCTTCTTGTAATTATGGATTTTGTTATTGTTTTATGCCTTTTTTTCTTCTTCCTTCTTGCTCTTTTGGCATCATAAAGTGTGATTGTAACAATTTTAACTGACTCAAATAATGCCTCTTCCACACTAATCAAAATCCATTTGTTACCAACATGCCCCCCTCTTTCTCTCAACATTTAGCCCCACCTCTCTTTTTGTTGAGGGGAAAAAACTCCAAAAGTCATTTATCCACAAAAAAAAAGACCTTTAAGAGCCTGTTTGGTTTGCAATTAGAATCAAAATTGGAATGGTCGATTTATCCTACCTGTTTGATTCAAACAGGAATTGGAACCAAAATCGGAATCAACTGGAACGGATTTTCATTCCCAAAGGAAGGGGAGGGAATGTCCATTCCACCAAGAATGGGAATGGGTTCCGATCTGACCAAACAGTTGGAATATGACCATTCCTATTCCGATTCCAAACCCCTATTCCCATGAAACCAAATGGACCCTAAACCTCTCTAAACTCTATAAAATGAGTAGAAACTTTCCTTGTTTCAGAAACGGGCTTAAACATCTTTCACTAGTCACTGGAGAACCTTTGTTAAAACACAATTGGAAGTGTGCAATAGAAAATATCCCTGTTTGGGAGTGCTTATTTTTTAAAGAACTTATTGGAAAAAGTGCTTATTTTAGGCTGGGACTACACCAATAAGCACTTGAAACAAGTCCAAATAAACACATTTTTTTTTTCAGAAAATGAGCCTGTTTTGAATAAGTTCAAAGTTTGTGTTTTTTTATACATTTTTTGCATTTTATGGCCTGTCTTGGCCTGCCACTCAGAACACTTACTAGGATAAGCATAAACATTTATTTATCCAATACACACTCCCAAACGAGGACTAAGTGTAATTTCTTGTTACTATAAATAAGGGTGTAATCAAGTAGATTCTGATTTGGCATATCTCTAATATTAGACATTCATATATTTTTATTTTTTATAAATAAAAATATAAAGAATTAAAGAAAATATAAATATTTTATAAAAAAAAGGTATAACTCTAATATTAAATTAAAATAAAAATTATTTTTATTAATTATAAAAATGATTAAAAACAAAAAAAAAAAAGAAAAAAATAGGATTAATATTTGACTTGTGACATACTGATCAATTCAAATGAGTTAGTGTTTTAGCTATTTGGGTCACTGGGTTGATGATTGAGTCAACATTATTTTTATTCTTGAATCAACATTATTTTGTGTTGGAAGGTAGTTTGGTAGTGAAAGGGACCATGAATTTTCATTTGGATGATGACAGGCCAATGGACCACATGGAAAGGACATTTATCTATATACATAAAGCATTGAGAGGGTGTACAAGAGCATTGTGAGGTTGACATTTATATGTTTTTTGTTCTCTAAATTATTGACACATGTCTCTCTCTCCCTTCTCTTCTTTATTCTCTCTTTTCTCCCACCTCTCTTTGTTTGAAAAATTATAAAAATGCCACATATAAGACAAACCTCTCTATATAATTGTCTCTATAATATTCAAAAATTACAACAATGCCACATATAAGACAAATCTCCTTATATAATTGATTCAATGGCATTTGAAAATTATAATAGTGCCACATACAATTATTTACAATTATGACATTCTATAAATAAAATGCCATTCCTCTTCTTCCTCAACTCTCTCTCTCTCTCTCCTATTCTGTATCTCAACTTTTATTTATTCATTTATTTATTTTATTATTATTATCTAAACATTTATTTATTTAATAAATTAAATGAATTATTAATTTGAATAAAATAAATATGTAGAATAAAAAAGATGTGACATTAATTTCAATAAACATTTATTTATTTATTTTACTAAATTGTTTATTTATTTAGAAATAATTTACTAACAAATTGTTCTCTCCCCTTGAGCCCAATATTTTGTGTTGTCAACGGATCCAGTCTAGTTCAAGATAGCCTATACCAGTCCCATCCCAATAGACATTTATTTATTTAAGAAAAACTAGGACTGAACCAATGGGTTGGGTCTATCTTGATGGAGCTAAATTGATTGAACACAATTATAACGGTTTTGGTTCAATGATTTTGTCTTGATTAATTATTGTATTGATTTTCATTCTTACTTGTCCATAATTGATTCAGGTACGGAACCAAACATTTTATGAAATATATAATTTTTTATCTTGTTTTTTATTATGTTTCATGTTTCAAATAGTAAATTTGATAAATAATAAATAAGATAATATTAATTAAAAATGTTTAATTTATTAACATAAAAATAAATTAGTATTATTTTGACTACTGTTTTCAATATAATGAGGTCTATGATTTAATCCCAATTAAATAATCGGTTTAAGACTGATTCTATGTAATTGTTTATTATTCATAATAATATAATTATAGTTATTTTATTTTTAAAAATATAACCTAATTTATTATTGTATCTTCAAATAAGCATAAAAAATTGTATCTCGAAATGCCAATTTTAAATTTTGCCCATGCGAAACCCCCCGTGAATTCAGAACCGAATTGATTGGTTACCAGTTACCACTTAAAACGGTTGATTGATTTTCCGGTATCGTGTATTTCCGGCATCATAGTTGAACCTTTGTTTTTCAAGCTTAGCCGGTTAAACCGATAACCTAAAACTTTCTGAATTCTGATTACATATGTCCGGTCGGGGTCTGACCGTCTGACAGGGTCACTGGTTGATTGATAGGCTCTAGGCTCTAGAGTCTAGACTAATCAACGTTACGTCAGAATCCAATTATTGATCTGAATCGTCACATTACAACACGTGCCAAGAATCAACAACTAATCTAAAGCCGTTGAAGTCGCATCTGAGAAATCAACTATTTTTTGGACCTTCCATGTGACAATATACATCTTTTTTTCTCCATCTAACGTGGATCGCTCAGGCGTGGCCCACTGAGCGACGTCTAGAACTGGGCCAATATAGCCCATTATCTCCAGACTTCAAAAAGTACAAACCGCGAGAGGTTTCTGTTCTTTCTCCTGAGAAAAGGCAGCACCTAATTCCTTCAGTGACAACTCGCCAATTTCTGCAGGCTTAAGTGCTTTACTACTCGGAAAAGGAAAACCCAGAGAATCTCTCCCCAACAAATCTCCCCACATTCACGAGCACTTCAATGCACAGTCACGACGATGGATATACAGAGAGAGACAGACGGAGATGAGGTTCAGAACACCGAGAAGAGGAAACTCCGACGGCCCACCATGACCCGAGACCGCCATGTCAAATTCCAGGGACGTGATCGGAGGGTCAGGCTTCCGGCCACTTGTGCTCCCGGTATATTTCGCCTGACCCAGGAACTCGGTCTCAAAACGGCTGGCGAAACGATTCTGTGGCTCTTGGAACAGGTTCGGCCTGACCTCGTTGTCCCTAAAGGTGTTTCGTCCAAGAAAGCTTCTTGGGAAAACTCGGCCGACGTTTTGGTTGCCGAACCCATGAATATTGCCCTACCTCAAGATGATGAAAGTGGGGGTTTTATTGAGTCTGCACCGGTTTCCGACAGCAGCGAGCCGGTGGTGGTCGCCAGTGAAGCCGACGGAATGTCTGATCACTCCGGTCCCCGGACCGTTCGAGCCACTGTTGTACAGGCCTCAACTGTCTTCTACGACACTCCGGCGACTCTGGGTACCTCTATTTTTGGTTCTCTGCTTTTTGCGTTTGCTGGACTTTCCTTGAATTTCTTCGTGTTATTTTTGAGAGGCTTATTTGTAAAATTCAGCTGGGTTTGTTTTTAATTTGCAAAAGGAAGCCTTTCTTAAATGTATCTTGATACAATTGTGAGGGGGAGTGTATGGAGAATTTGGTTTCTTGAAGAACAGATGTCTGTGAGATGTTGCAGAAACTGCATTGTCAGAGGAAGTTGTAGAGAAATCACAAACAATAATAACCTGGTTTGGTGGTTCCAACGAGATGGTACAAGAAATTTAGAAAAAGATTTTTCAAATAAATCATTTATTTCAAAAACGATTCTGCGTATTAACATCCGCAAATTGGCTTCCATCCCAAAATCTATTCTCAAGAATAATCTTACTCACCCCATCAAATTCTCTTAATCCCAACATCTGATCAAGGAAAGATGTTTGCAAATTAGCAATTGAGGACATAATACAGTGCTATTTTGTTTTTACACCCCAACGAACTTACAGTGGGTTGACATTCCACATAGACATAGTCTTAACATGGGATCCTTCTGCAGTTACTGGCCCTGATGTTAAAAAACAAGTGCGTTTTTTAGTGATAACAGGTGAGATTACATTAACAAAAGAGTGTGGGATGAGTGACTGGACAAAAAGAAGCCTGTCCATCCTAAGCTGTGCAACTGCATATATATTGTCTCTATCATCTATGGAATTGAAGGCCCACCATACATTTCTGTCCCGTTGCCCCCCAACCTGGGTAGTTCATCAACAATCTCATTTCTTCCCATTGAAGCTCATCACAGCGTATGGGTACTGGATCTTGGGAGAAAAATATCTCAATTATCATAGTCTCCATGGCCCTCTCCTAATCCTTTGGCCCACCTGACAGCCTTTGCTAAGACACCTATCAATTATCAAAAGAGATGGTGGATTTCCACTGATCTCCTTTTGGATCAAGAAGGGGAGCCATCACCTCTTCTTTTTGTGAGTCTGCTTTTTCAATTGCTCCACTGTACACCTACATTGTGTTTCCTTCTCCATCTTCCAGTGCTCCAACCCAAGAAGAGCCTGGGTTACCGAGTGAACTGCCATCAAACCTCACAGTAAGATCTTCTCATATCAATTTCCCAGGCTGAACAATTTTTTTTCCTGAATAATGAGGACTTGCAAGCGTCTATTGCCATGCCCTATGGATGCAGATGGTTGATGGTCTCACTTCTTCTGTGACACACATCCCATATACTTGCATGTCGCACTCTCTTTAGACGATGAACTATTAGAATGCTATTGATGCCCATGCAATTATTTAAGTCCTTGGAGGTACCAAGTTGCTCTGTATAAATTCAAACTGAGTTGCTTTAACTTGGCCTTGGTAATGCTATTGTAGAAAGACCTAAATGGAAATTTGTCCCTTGAGAGCTCTTTCCATCAGTCATCGGGAACATCCCCACCATTTCTTTTTCCAAGTGTCTTAGAAAATTGTTCTGCTTCTCAACCTCCCTATCATGCAGTTTTTTTTATCAGCCCTGTCATGCAGTGGTTTGCTAAACAAGAAAAGATCTTATCCAGTTGAATTTAAGCAAGTCTTTTCCATCTCAACTTGAATCAACTCAACAAAGCCTCCTATACATAGGGTCAGCTGGCCAAAATCCTAATCAACGGTGCCCTTCACTCTTCGTCTCTTCCTAAAATTCCTTGTTGAACTCTGTATTTCCTGTTAAAGTAGCAGCTCTATGCATGATTGAGGTTGCTCTAAATCTGATTTGGATTTAGACTAGGTCCTAGTGTCTTGTCGTGGAAAAGCATGGTTGTGATAACCTTCAGTAGAATTAGTTTATGCCAGTTGGAGTCCTAATTTCGTTTTATGCAAACTAGAAACAGAGTAGCATCATTGCTTAATTTGTGAGAGAAATTGAGCTACTGGACTAAGAACTGGTTCAAATAAGAAGTCAAAGATCACATTCACAGGATTCATCAAAAAAAAAAAGGACACATTCACAGGATGCCTCAGCAGCTCAGCAGTTTGGTCACCTAGAATGACAGTACATCTCAAAATACCTTATTGTTTCCTATTATTCTTTTTTTATTCTTTCCAATCCAATCCATTATGTTTGCAATGACAATACCTCAGAAATTCTTCTGACACAAGGAATTGAAGGTTATTGCCCCACTAAGATAGGTGCTTTTTGTTGGGTGGAGAGGAGTTTGCTATAAAGCGTATGGAATTGGAAAAAAGGAGCATGTTAAATCAGACATGTTGAGCAAAAATCAGGTTTTGTGGTCTGATCATGATTCTGGGGATGAAGAATCTGAGAGTGCTTGGGATTTGTTCCAATTTGGATATCTTGGATTGTCTTCAGTTGTTATGGTGTTTGGTGTTTCTATTGAAGAAGTGGGTTGTATGTTCTGTACTTTCATTTCTGCTTTTGTTTGTACATAGTTGATGTATTTTCATTCGTTTGATTTTGAAGGAGTTGGGATTAAAGATTGGTGTAGAGCGGGTTGTTTGGATTATGTCATTTGGCTGTGATTGAGTAGTATTTGAATTTTTTAGGTTGTTTTGGGTTGGCTGTTGGTGCCGGGGCCATAAAGCTTGTATACCTTTTTTTTTTATTTATATAGTTTTATTTTTGCTAAAAAAAGGTTCTTGATACCTATATTTACACTGAGCATACTGCTTGTTTAGCCAGACACTGTAGTAACTAACTGTCTCATTTATATTTAATCAATACATACTATAATTTGTTGACTCCCTAAAGTAGGTGCTTTTTGCTAGGATGCAGTTCATTGGGAAATTATTATTTTTGAGATGCTTCATAGGAAAAATGATTCATCTCTCTCTCAATCTCCATGGCTATTTGATTCCTCAAAGGAAAAGTAACATTGGTGATCGGCTCCACACACTTGTTGTCTCTGCCTCATCAGTGGGAAGACTAGTATCCACTTTTATTTACACAGTTTTGTATCTCAGGTTTGGAAATTATTTCTCCGGTATTTTCCAATATCCAGTTTTATGTTTCATCAGCATGAGCATGACTTCCTAAAGGGATGGCATGCTAGTCGTGAATTCTCCGAACCTAGGAGAAGGCTTTTCAGAGATACCTATCTCATGCATTTTGTGGGTATTCCATGGAAAGGAATGTAATAAAAAAGAGTATCAGGTAGTGGCTGAACTGATGGCCATGAGTTATCCATTAGGTGCAAGCAAGCACTAGCAAGAAGAGCAATACTTGGAAAGCTATGCGGGCAATCTTCACTGGATTCCATTAATTTGTTAGATTTGATCCTGTAGTTATAGAGTGAGATTTTGGGAAGATATCTGGTGGGTGTGATAGATCAATCTGCCAACAGCTCCCTAGACTTTATGCTTTAACTGAGAACAAAAAAGAACAAAGTGACCTTGTGACTATCTCCTTCAGGATTATCATGGGATTTTGGTTTTAGAAGAGGTCTTAGGGATGTTGAAAGTGGGGGTTCCATTTAGCTGATTGATCATCTTGAACTGGTTTTTCTTTTTAGGCAAGGATAGGTCAAATCAAGAGGGTTTGGACTGTGGATTCTTTGGGTCAGTTCTCATGCAAATCTTTCCTTAAGACTTCAAACAAAAAATCCCTTATCCCCATTATCTTTCTCTATTCATGAAGCTTGGGCTGGACGTGCTCCACCAAAAACTGTAAGCATTTGTATGGGAAGCGGCTCTCAGGATTATTAGCATGTGAGACTCTTTAAAGAAAAAGAATCTTTGTGCTTATCCTCTTGTATATGTTCTTTTCCTTTCTAATGGGGTCTGTATTGAGTATTAACCATCTATTCCTTTTTCCTGCACATCTAAGGAATGGAATCATTTCTTTCTTCCTTTGGATTGAATTGATCTTATGCTTCAATTATTATGGAACTTTTTAGCAAATAGTTCTTCCATTTACACATAAAGGAAAAAAGTTCTTTGGAAATGTCTAGAGCAGTTGTGCTTTGGAGCCTTTGTGGTGAAATAATATCTGACAACAAAAATCAACATGAAGACTCAATCATTGAAAATGTCATGGTGAGGACGGTTTATTGGGTGCTGGCATGCAAAGAATTCAAAGGCCTATTGTTGGATGGTGTGCTGAGGAGACTGGGCTTTTGTATTGTATCCAGGTTCACAATGGACAACATGGTATTATTACCATATGGTCAACTCCTGAATTGGGGAAAATGATGTTGAACTTCGATGAGTGTAGCATTGACAACCCGGGATCATCAAGCGTAGGGGGTGTGATTAGAGATCATCATGGTATTATAATGATGAGTTTCACAGGTCCAGTTGGGATGGGCCAATTTGATTGTGGAAGGAAACTGTGAAGTGGAATTTGGATTAGCTGAACGCAATGGCTGTTCAGCAGGCTGTGGAACCAATGATAATGTTCCACACCAGTAATAAATTCATGGACCCCACTGTAAAAGTTGCGGGTCCCATGTATTTTATTACTGGTATGGAACATTATTATTGGTTCCACAGCCCGCTGAACAGCCATCATGTTCAGCTAATCCTTGCTTTGTGAAGTGGCCCTAAGTTGGATTGGAAAACAAAACAGGGGGCCCTTAAATACTCTGGCAAGTGATCAAAGAATCTAAATTTTTGGCGTCTATTTTGGACTGCTTGTTCCGATGGATACTTCAATTAGCTAATAGAATAGTAGATGCACTTGCAAGGAATGGTATAAATAGGGACAATTTTCTGTGCGGTATACCTAGGCCGGGTATTTATGTAATGCAATAGTTTTCTTCTCTGTACTACAAAAATAGTGCTACTGTCAGCATTTGTACTATTTTATATTGTCTTCTCTATCTCTAGTTTCTGACATTAGAGAAGTTTTCTTTTCTTCATAATTAATGCAATCATATGGCTACTAATAAACAAGAACAATGGGTCAAACACTAGAAATATTTCAAAGGGGTCATCTTTTCTTCATAAGTAATACAAAAATATGGCTCTCTAGCTAATGA